GTTTTAAGCTCTACTGAAAACATTTAGTTAACCAGAGAATCAAGCACATTGGAATTCTCTTCATCTCTCTTGTTTGCGTTCACCTTGAGTTCTCCAGAAAGTGATGCATTCAATCCAGTCATTATAATCACTAAGGTGGAGCCGGGATTGCTTTGGATTGCATTGTGCCATTTGTTTTAATCAAGTTCAGGGGGATAAAGAAAACAAGCTTCAGCAAAACGCATTAAAAACATGTGAACTGCTTTTTGATTGTAGACGACACAGCTTTTTACATGCCGGTTGCCATTTGAAGTCTCCAAATGAAAATGGTTTTGTATCTGGTTTGAGAAGAGGGTTTGTAAAAGGACAACATAAAAAAAAGCTCTTCAATCTGGAAAAGCCCTGTTCCAGCTTCTTCCCTCCGGCAGAAGATATCGTTGAGATGCAGTATTTTAACCTTGTTTGATTTATGTACTTGTCTTGTGCACACTGGAGACTTTTGCACATGTATTCCAATGTGGTTTTACTGCATATAGCAAATACATGAACCTGAATCTGAAGAGAGAAGGTCTTAGAATATACAGTATACTTCTATATACAGATTTTTTTTTTTTTTTTTTACACATATTTAACTTGCTTTAACCCATATTTGACCACTTTCTGAAATGTGTGAAAAGACGTCTATGCTTACATTTTCCACAAGAGAAAAAAAAATATCCAAGAAGCTGAAAAGCTTTCGGTTTGCCCTCTACCACTGTGGGGTCGCGTGCGAAGTGAAACTGGAGAGTACATATGGTTCTTATGGTAACGCAGGAGTCCAGAGGGAGCTAGTACAGACCATGTGCACATATTTCGGTTTATAGAAATGTGTGTGACAGCGTAAACAGGAACGCTTTAAAACTCTGTGTTTCAATCCAGCAAGTTTATGGTTAGAATAACACAGGGACGCAAAAAACTGATCAATCTAACAATACACAATTTTAAGGTGCAATCCTCATCAGCTTTGACACGTTTTAGCTTCGACTTTCCGCGCTATGGTGTCTTTGGAACCTCTAAATTAAGTGTTTCAAAATAAACTAAAATATTCTGATTCCCAATGTGAGGTGTTAATAGTTTAATTGTAAAAATATACTATGTGAAAGAGGGGTAAGTATTTCAATGTTCCTTGAAAATCTTTCTGTACGTAATAGACTTATAATTGGCTGTTTTAAAATGTGACGTATGCAATGCTCTTTTCTGCGACGTCAGCCAAAACGATTGAATTGAACTGAATGGAAACACGGCCACAGCAAAGGGATCCGTCGCAGACACAGCTCAGATCACAGATGAAATTAGCAATCAGCAGTTTTTTTTCCCCGTTTTGATTACACAAGTTGACAGCCAAAAAATGGTCAGGGGTTTCTAAACTGATTCAGATTAATGTTGGTGTTCTGAGTCTGAATATCACATGCATGTTGCTCTATCAGGTCAACTTTTTGAGATACAGCCATAGTGTTACGGATTATGTACGTCTACGTTATTATGAATTCTGCTTATCTCTCTCTCGAGTAAATAAAAACTGAATGACTTTGGATACTTTTATTTCTTGAGGAAAACGGAAAAAACTGCAAGGGTTTCTCAGCTGATGATCCGCAGAAATTAGTTTTTTACGCAAAATCGATTAAAAAAAAATTTCTGTCGCAAAGAATCCTGACCTGATTGAGCAAAACCAAGGTCATTTTCGGACTCAGAGCATCAACATTAGTCTAATTCAGCTGAAAAAACCTGGACTATTTTCTAAAAATATGTTTTTGTTACCCAGTGTTATGAAGGACCCTGCCCAGGTCAGGCACATATCACGGATTCAGGAAAGTATAACGCCGCGACAGTGGGCGTGTTGCGGTGGCAGAGGACCCAAACATGCACAGCTCACTATAAACAAGTTTGGGTGTGCACAAATGACAAGCTGTAAACGTTGATTTTGAAGGATTGAGACTCGAAAGAGAGAAGGATGAGATTCCACCAGACCATGTTACAGGTCAGATCTGTCTTTAAGCTATTCGCGTCATTAAACATGTGTTAGATATTAGGGCTGAAACAACTAATCGATTAATCGACGACTAATCGATTATTGAAATAGTCGACAACTATTTTAGTAATCGATTAATCGTTTTCTGGTTCACACGGACTCAAACAGAGCAAAAATGACATGAAAATGTAGTATTTTTGATTAAAACCGACTTTGTTTTTATAATTTCATGAATATCTGTCTGTCTCATCCAATCAGAGCAGAATTAGCACAAAGAGCCTGTTACAAACATTTACTTTAAGTTTACGCCTCAATACGTCCTCGAGTGTTGCCACTTTAGCTTTTTGTGATGAAAAAATAATTTTTTTCTACACAATTCACAGCCAAGCGATTAATCGATTAATCGTAAAAATAATCGATAAATTAATCGATTACAAAATAATCGTTAGTTGCAGCTCTATTAAATATTAAATCTCTGCATATAGTGTATTCATCACGTGAGCTTCCCTATCTGTCTTACTGCTCAGAAATCTGGGAACCACTTATAAAACACATATATATCCTATAATTAAAGTACAAAAAAGAGCAGTATGTTTAATAAATAAAGTGGGTTATCAATCATGACTCTACTAATTAACTTTTTATAAAACATAACATGCTAAAATGTACGGACATAGTCGAGTTAAAAATTCTAGAAATCTTATTCAGAGTTGTAAAAAAATAAAGATATTCCTGCAGGTGTTCAATCTTTCTTCAAATTGAGAAAAAGTCGCTATAATCTGAGAGGTTTGCTTCAGTTGGAAACAAGAAAATCCAGATTAACATTAAAAATAAATGTGTGTTATTGGAGTAAAAATGTGGAATGACGACCAGCTTAAGTTAATTAATACATTATCAATATTTAAAACTACCTTAAAATGTGAAATAATTAATTCATACGCATTGCCTTAAAAGTAATGATAATAATAATAAAAATATAACTAATAAAGAAAAGTGAACAAAAAAACATTGTTCAAGCAAATATGCATTTTATGTTTTAAATCATTTTTTTTTTATTTTTTTTTTATTTTTATTTTTTTATAGTGGCTGTGATGTCAGGTTGGGCTCACAGAAGCAAGTTTCAGCCCAATCCTGTTTTTGGTTGTGATATAGTCAGTGAGATATGTTATTAATCAAACAACTGACCAAAAATAAACATTCATTCATTCATTCGCCTTTGTGCTTATTTTTTTAAATGATTACAGACTTATGCATGTTATTGTGTGTATACAGTATATATATGTATTTCTCATGTTTTATTGTTTTTTTTCTTCTATTCCCGGCATGACACGGTGGATAGCCCTCTCGCTTCTCAGCAAGAAGGTCCTGGGTTGGAATCCTGGTCGGAACAGTGCCTTTCTGAGTGGAGTTTGCATGTTCTCCCTGTGTGTCTGTGTAGGTTTCCTTCGGGTGCTCCGGTTTCCCCTACGACTAAAAACATGCACAACGGCAGTATAACATAGAGAAACAGTTTAACATAGATGGCAAGTGTCTCTGCTTCTTCTGGATCTCCGCTCGGTTTTGAAACGATACCTTAATCAGATATGTTTAAACTAGACCAAGCAACAGACAAAGTCATTACACCTCTGCTGGGAGAAGCACACAGAAGACCCTCCGCTAATCAAATTACAAAACATAACGTCTGTTGCCAACAATATGTTCATTTAAATATTCTGTCAAAGTCAAGACTTAAATTAATAAATGAATCAATGCAACTACAACACTGATCAAATATGAGATCATAATAACTAGAATCGAGTTTTTTTTAACTTGACTTAAGTTCATTCTGACTGTCTTAAAATGAGATTTGCCAATGAGACAAGCCATTTTGACTTGATTCAAGAACTATTGCTTTATTTTCTCATTCCAAGAGAGAAATATCTTGTATCTTTTTAAAACAAGATAATTTTTCTTGTTCCACTGGCAAATGTTGTTTTAAGGCAGTCAAAATGTGCTCATATTTAGATACATTTAGCCAAATTTGAGCATTTTTTTGTCTTTAATTCTGTCATCTTTTGCAGTGAAACATGTCACAGCTTTTATAAATAATCTTTTTGCCGTGCCCTTGTCAACACACGCAACCGACAACGGACAGATCCCAGCTGTTTTGTTGACAACGATCGAATGCAGGAAGCCGGTTGCTCATTGGGGCATATGTAGCCAAACAAACATAGCATTTGCATGTGCTTTGCACAAACATGGGACTAAATATAGCAAAAATCCCATTCTGACAAGGCCCTCGGGGATCACTGCTGAAGGCCTGTTGTGCTGAGCCACGAAACAACATCTGGCAGAAATGTAGCTTCACTAAAAATAAAAACAGATGTAAATTAAATTATACGCTTCAATGGTTTTGTCTTTTCATGCTGTGCTTGGTTTGACATACAAATAGCTGAATAATAGAGCATAAAGTCTTAAATTAGCCTGTGTATATATCAATCAATCAATCAATCAAAGTTTATTTGTAGAGCGCCTTTCATGCACAGGGCAACACAAAGCGCTTCACAGTCCACATCACAAATCATCACATAAAACAAACACCAGAATCACAATTAAAACATTAGAATCACACAAAAGATTAAAACACAATTAAAACATTAGAATCACACAAAAGATTAAAACACAATTAAAACATTAAAATCACACAAAAGATTAAAACACAATTAAAACATTAAAATCACACAAAAGATTAAAACACAATTAAAACATTAAAATCACACAAAAGAATAAAACCATTAAAACTTTCAAAATTACACGAGAAATTAAAAAAAAAATAATAATAAAAAAAAAAAAAAAAAAATATTCAATGGGGGGAAGCCACAGCCACAATAACGTAGCCAAAGTTAGCTAGCTAGCGCATATAATGAGGTCACTTTCAGGGCAAGTTTTAAAAAACTGATGCTTTGGGGAAAGTCAGAAGTGCTGCTGATGCATTTTGGGCTGATTGAGATGCTCGGGACAATAACATGCGTGTTTAGGTGAATGGATGACATGCGTGTTCTTTGACGAGGAAGGTGAGAGAGGAGGGAGGAGGAGAGGAGGAGAGGAGGAGAGGAGGAGAGAAGGAGAGGAAGGAGAGAGAGAGGAAGGAGGAGAGGAGGATGAGAGAGAGGAGGAGAGGAGGATGAGAGAGAGGAAGGAGGAGAGGAGGAGGAGAGAGAGAGGAAGGAGGATGAGAGAGAGAGGAAGGAGGAGGAGAGAGATGAGAGAGAGAGGAAGGAGGAGAGAAAGAGGAAGGAGGAGGAGAGGAGGGAGGAGGGGAGGAGGAGAGAGAGAGGAAGGAGGAGGAGAGGAGGGAGGAGGAGAGGAGGAGAGAGTGAGGAAGGAGGAGGAGAGGAGGAGAGGAGGAGAGGAGGAGAGAAGGAGAGAAGGAGAGAGAGAGGAAGGAGGAGAGGAGGATGAGAGAGAGAGGAGGGAGGAGGAGAGGAGGAGAGAAGGAGAGAGAGAGGAAGGAGGAGGACAGGATGAGAGAGAGAGGAAGAAGGAGGAGAGGAGGATGAGAGAGAGAGGAAGGAGGAGGAGAGAGAGAGGAAGGAGGAGGAGAGAAGGAGAGAGAGAGGAAGGAGGAGAGGAGGATGAGAGAGAGGAAGGAGGAGGAGAGAGAGAGGAAGGAGGAGGAGAGAGAGAGGAAGGAGGAGGCAAACATCTGTCAAAGATGTTCTTTGACAGAGAGGGGTATGGCGGTGAATATCAAAGTTTAAAAAAAGTCCAGTACCTGTACATAATATCGGCAAGAGCGCTCCCTTTTCTGCAGCTGCATCCCAGAAAGAGAAGAAAAACAGCAGATCCTTATAAATATGCATTCGTAGAGAAGAAGAAATGCGGTTTTGAGGAGGATAGGGAGAGGAGATGAAAGCGTACAGCAGTGTTGTAGAGGAATAGCAAAACAGAAGAGGCATATTAATGACCTAAACTCAAATAATGAGTAAACATTGATAAAAAACCAGAAGCAGTTTTCTCGCTGAAATATTGGATGCCGAAAATTCACTTTAAAAGATTATATTAAAGCTGGGTTACAAAATAATCAAAATACAGAATGTGTAACTAGTTCCTGGCTCTCTTTGGTTCCACGTGTCACGCATCGTTGCAATATCCTTATTTTATACCAGAATGTACAGATGCTAACATACTGCTGCTAATGTACAGATGCTAACATACTGCTGCTAATGTACAGAAGCTAACATATAACCACACTTTACTTGCACTAGCATACACAGGTAACGCGTGCCGTGTGCTCCTCTTTCCTACTGTTCTATAACTTGTGATGCAACACTGGAATTTCCCCACTGTGCGACGCATAAAGGATGTCTTAATCCTAATCTTCCAGCCCTGAGAGATTGGTCCTCCATCTCTTGTCTCTTGCATATATTGATAAAATAGTGATATAAAACCCATTTTTATCCAACAGCTTTTAACTGATATTTTTAAACATCAGGTTGTATTTTACTGCTTCACTTTTCTTTGTTTTGTCTTACTTATTTTGTTTCCTCGGTTTTATTTTAATTTTTATTTAACCTTTTTTTAACCAGGAAAAATCCCATTGAGATTAAGAATGTATTTTTCAAGCGAGTCCCGGTTTTTGCGACTTTTTTAATTATTATGGTTTTGACTGTTTTTGTTGTTTGTGCAGCACTTTGTAATCACTGTTTTTGAAAAGATGGCATATGATTATTTTTATTATATTTATTTATTTATTTATTTGTTTCGATTGTAGACAAAAACAATACTACACATATTACAATTACATTTCAAATAATTGTCGTCTTGTCTCACAAATGAAAAGGAGCAAAAAGAAGAAAAAAAAATCTTATGTTGCCTGCCCCTTTCTTCATACATGTACAAATTAAATTTAAAAAAAATAAAAAAAATAAAAAAATAAGATGGCCTTTAGCACTTCTTCAAACTGTTTTTATTTGATGTGTCTTATATACTGTATATATGTAACTTATATAGTTAGAATGATTTAATTACACACAGTAGCTACATGTGTTGGGGTTTTCGAAAGTCATGCACGCCAGCTTTAATGTAAAAATTGAACCCAGGCTTGTCGTTTTCTGTAACAGGAGAAGCTGCACTGCAAAAGATCACAGAATTAAAGACAAAAAAATGCTCAAATTTGGCTAAATGTATCTAAATTTGAGCACATTTTGACTGCCTTAAAACAAGATTTGCCAGTGGACCAAGAAAAATTGTCTTGTTTTAAAAAGATATTTTTCTCTTGGAATGAGAAAATAAAGCAATAGTTCTTGAATCAAGTCAAAATTGCTCGTCTCATTGGCAAATGTCATTTTAAGACAGTCAGAATGAACTTAAGTCAAGTTAAAAAAACTCGATTCTAGCAATTACGATCTCATATTTGATCATTTTTTGCAGTGTGGGGTCTTTACTCTGCTCTTAAATCCAGGTGAGGAGCAAGTGAAAGAGATATCATTAAACCATCCATCCATCCATCCATCTTCTACCCTTTAATCCATTTCTGGGTCAGGGGGGTGACAGTCAGAGATGCCACCCAAGTCTCATAGCACCAGCCCCTCACTGACCCTCTGCAGGTGGTGAGTCCACAGGAGGACGGCTGCTCTCTGAGTGTGAGCATAGCCTTGATCTTTCAGTGGGGGCTTTGGGCAAAGTGGGGTTAAGTGTCTTGCCCAAGGACACAACGACAGCAGTCATCAGTGGGAGTCGGTGGAGAAGGTGTAGAGGTGGGAAATGAACCCACGACCTTCAGGCCTGAAGGCCAATGCTCTACCAACTGAGCTACTGTCGCCCCTATATCATTAAACCGTTGAATGAAATTACCTTTTAGTTTAATCCCTTTTAATCCTCCTTACGCTGCTCAGACGAATATTACTGCACTGACTACTTGCTTTTTATGAGCCTGTGTTTTCGAGTGGTTATTATAAAGTCGAGTTGCTGCACATTGTCAATTTGCACACGCCGTTCCCTTCCGAGTCCTGTTGGCCCATCTTTACGGCTGCCTCTCCAAAGGGGGGAAAACTGCCACTAAAAATCTCAATGGGGACATCTGTGTCGTCCGCGGCAACGAAATAAAAAATACAGCAGAGAGGCTATTTCAGAACAGGTGCTGCGTGGCGTTCATCGGACAGTGGCCGAGAACAGCTTCTTTACTTTCTCACAATCCTTTGCTTTCCAATCGAAAAGAGGAGGAGAGAGAGAGGAAGGAGGAGGGAGGAGGAGAGAGAGAGGAAGGAGGAGGGAGGAGAGAGAGAGAGAGGAAGGAGGAGGAGAGAGAGAGGAGAGAGAGAGGAAGGAGGAGGGAGGAGGAGAGAGAGGAAGGAGGAGGGAGGAGAGAGAGAGAGGAAGGAGGAGGGAGGAGGAGAGAGAGGAGGAAGGAGGAGGGAGGAAGAGAGAGAGAGGAAGGAGGAGGGAGGAGAGAGAGAGAGAGGAAGGAGGAGGGAGGAGAGAGAGAGAGGAAGGAGGAGGGAGGAGAGAGAGAGAGGAAGGAGGAGGGAGGAAGAGAGAGAGAGGAAGGAGGAGGGAGGAGAGAGAGAGAGGAAGGAGGAGGGAGGAGAGAGAGAGGAGGAGAGAGAGAGAGAAGGAGGAGGAGGGAGGAGGAGAGGAGAGAGGAAGGAGGAGGAGGAGAGAGAGAGAGAGAGAGGAGGAGGAGGGAGGAGAGAGAGAGAGGAGGAGGAGGGAGAGAGAGAGAGGAGAGAGGAGGAGAGAGGAGAGAGAGAGAGAGGAAGAGAGAGAGGAGGAGAGAGAGAGAGAGGGAGAGAGAGGAAGGAGGAGGGAGGAGAGGAGGAAGGAGAGGAGAGGAGGAGGATGAGAGAGAGGAAGGAGGAGTGATGAGAGGAGGAGAGGAGGAGGAGAGAGTGAGGAAGGAGGAGGAGAGAGAGAGGACGGAGGTAAGAGGAGAGGAGGAGGAGAGGGAGGAGCGAGGAGAAGGAAGGAGTGAGAGGAGGAGAGAGAGGAGAGGGAGGGAGTGACGATAGCAGGAAGGAGGAGGGAGGAGAGACGAGAGGAAGGAGGAGGGAGAGGAACTTTTCATCTTGATCAAACGGTGGATGGTGATATTTTTTTGAGCTTAGATTATACAGTATTTTATGCTTGTTTCTTTATAATAATAATGCATGGGTTTTATACAGCGCTTTTCTGGACACTCAAAGACACTTCATATGTCATTATTCATTCACTCCAAACACGGTGATGATAAACTACTACTGTAGCCACAGCTGCCCTGGGGCACACTGCAGCGAGGCAACCATTCACACACACAACAGACTCATTCTAGGCAATGGGGGTGAAGTGTGGCATCAGGTGTTCCCAGGTGTAACCAAACTGCTTACGTCAAAAATGGTTTACATAACATTTTTTTTTTTTTTTATTGTATTCTTGTTTATTATTTATCCAATCCAATCCACTTTATTTATATAGCACATTTAAACAACAGTTACGTTTCCAAAGTGCTGCACAAAAAAGTATAAAATAAATAACAACTTATCCTTAGCTTCACCAAGTATAAAAGAATAAAAATATATAAAACAGATTAAAACCATAAATAGAAAAATAAAAACACAGAGGACCACACAACTCACACAGTGTTAAAAGCCAAAGAGTAAAAGTGGGTCTTAAGACGAGACTTAAAACACTCTACTGTAACGTAATTTAGTATAACTTATTACTTAGTTTTTGTATATATATAATGATGTATGTATAATGTAAATGTGATGTATTTCTAGGTTTTAGGGACCAGGTCTGCAAACTAGCTGTTAGCTATACGGCCTATGAACACAGCATCGGTTCCTGTAACAATGCTTTTTGTTCTGTCCCTACCAAATAAACAAATAATAATAAAAGTGTCTTGCCCAAGGACAGAACGGCAGCAGACATCAGCGGGAGTCGGTGGAGAAAGAGCTACTGTCGCCCTAAATAATGCTAAAGATAAAACTTAACACCCACTTCTAATTTTGCTAAAGCTAGAAATTTTTTAACTTAATTCTGTTTAGACTAGAGTTACAGATTGTTCATTTATCTTATGCTACTTTTCTGTCACCTGTGATGCAAAACTGAAATTTCCCCACTGCGGGACAAGTAAACTGTGGTAAAGGAGGAGGGAGGAGGGGAGGAGGGAGAGAGAGAGGGAGGAGAGAGAGAGAGGGAGGAGAGAGAGAGGAGGAGGAGAGAGAGAGGGAGGAGAGAGAGAGGAGGAGAGAGAGAGGAGGGAGGAGGAGAGAGGAGGGAGGAGGAGAGAGAGAGGAGGGAGGAGAGAGAGAGGGAGGAGAGAGAGAGGAGGAGAGAGAGAGGAGGGAGGAGAGAGAGAGGAGGGAGGAGAGAGAGAGGAGGGAGGAGAGAGAGAGGGAGGAGAGAGAGAGGAGGAGAGAGAGAGGAGGAGGAGGAGAGAGAGGAGGGAGGAGGAGAGAGAGAGGGAGGAGAGAGAGAGGAGGAGAGAGAGAGGAGGGAGGAGAGAGAGAGGAGGGAGGAGAGAGAGAGGAGGGAGGAGAGAGAGAGGGAGGAGGAGAGAGAGAGCCGGGGAGAGTGGCTGCGAAGCAGAGACCCTGTGCATCCTAGGGAGAGGAGGGAGGAGGATGGAGAGGTTGGTGGTTCTTGGGTGTTGGACGAGGGGGGGTTGGAGGTGGGAGGGGTGGGTTAGGGGAGGGGCAGGAGTTGGGAGATAGACGGAGGGGGGGG